CCCGTGTCCCCTGCATTGGCAGGCTGGCTCTCAACCACTGCACCACCAGGGAAGCCCTCCAATGATTTTTAATAACCAAAATTTACAAGATAAAGACCATATTCTCCATTATGGTTTTAAGTAGGACTCTCCCTCGTAGACAAAACTTCTAGTTTCAGGAAAGCCTCAGCTTAAAAAATGCAGACCTTTTCATCCCTACATAGGTGTCTATTTTATCCTGTTTCCCAAATTCCAGTCACTTGCACACTGAAGATAAATCAATGTTAATTAATAGCTTCCTACTGACATTATAACTTAATATTTTCCTATGTGTTGACTCAAGTTTCTTATTAATTTACTAATATTTTCCTTTATTTTTCTTTCAGTTCTATTGAGATATTATTGACATACAGTACTGTAGAAATGGTGGGTGTACAGCATAATGACATATGTTGTAAAAGGATTAGCAAACAATTTAAATTTTAAAAAAATTTACTAAATACTTCATATGACAGTTTGGTAACCTCCATTTAAAACATAAGTTAAATTTACACAATTCATAACATTACATGAAATGGGCTGTGCAATTCTCAATATTATCTGGTGTTCTGAAATTTGTACATAAACCACATCTGGGGAAGTGCTAATTCATGAGACAAATTCTGCTGCTTTCTTCTTTCTTTTACTCCAGTAGTCGCCTCTGAGCCCTGTTAGCCTGGAGGCTGAATCTTCCGTGCCTTGGGGCAGGGCGGGTCACTCCCCTCAGAGGAGACCAGAAGGTCCTCCTGGAGAATGTGGACTGGGACATGGGTCAGTATCACCCAGGCTCCTCTAAGAGGTGAAACATCTGACTTGTAGGAGAAGGCTTCTTAGGAGGATGAAATGAAAGGTGTTCTGAACCTGGAGCCCTCCCCGCATCACTTGTCCCATCATGAAGACAATTCTGAGGGGTTGGTCTGGAACATGCGTAGATGGTGGAGGTTGGGGGACAGTGCAGGCCTGGATTGGGCTCAGGTGAGGTGAGTTGGGTAGAGGCTGGGAGTCAATGCTTAGCATTGGGGCAGGTGTCCTTATGGTCATTTGGTGTGCCTGTGTGAATCCAAGTCCAGTTGTACTGGGAAGAGGATAAAGGCTGTGGATAATTCCACAGATCAGGTCTCTGAGTATCCTCAGAGGATAAAAGGGTCCTGAGTCTTACTTTTTTGTGAGAAGGGGGTAGGTAGGAGGGGAAGATCTAGCAAAACAGGATGGAGACCAAGGCAGATCTCTTGCCTGCTGCCTGAGTTTGGAGTCCTGATCACATTTATGTTTGAGATTCTCTGGTCTGCACATTGAGTCTACACTTCAGTGCTCTGTGGTTGGTGACATGGTCCAGACCAGATGTCTTGGTGACAAGCTGGGGAACATCATAGGAGAAGCTCCCAGGCCTGTTGGCAAGGATGTTTGAGCCTTGACCAATGTGCTTCGCTGTAGGTTGTGAGGTTTAACGATATCCTCATCCTGTCCTTTAACTGGTCCACAAGTTGAGAGCAAAGAGCTCAGTACAGAGCTCTTGATGTAAGGCTGTGCATGGCAGATGGCCCTCATATCAAGTGTCTTGAGTGATGGATGACCTGTGAAAACAAGTTCCTTGACAAATTTTTTAGTGACTGTGTGCACAGTAATTGGCTTGGAAGGATGTGGGAGAAGACACCACAACTATAAAGTATATTTGAATTGCCTCTCAATCAAGAGAAAAAATAGAAGCAAACAAAAATATCTGGAACCTATGAAATTAAATTTCACTGTAAAAGAAAAATGATCATTTTACATATGAAGAGGCACCCAACCTCAATGATGGTCAGGAGGAAATAAATTACAAAGCCAATGTAATCATTTTTCTTCTCTTATATAGAAAATGTAAAGTGCCTTTGTAGCATCTCTTGTCAACATCAGTGGAAACAAGCCGTTTGATGTACTCTTGCAGGGAGTATACATAACTAATATCCCTTTTGAGGCAGTTTGTCCCCTCGTTTGCTTCTAGACGTTCTGGACTTTAGGGGTTCTGTGGTGCTGATGTCTGTGTGATGATCTGGAAATTTGCTATGTCCTTCCACCTCTGGTCAATCTCCTTCAGGCATTGATAACTTGATTTCCTGAAGTAGAAGAAAAAAGGCAAAAAAAATCATATACACATTGAAACAAGACAGTGGAATAGAAGGACGTGGAGTTCAAAACGAAAAAAAAAACAAACCACCAAATAGTTCTGTCTCATTACTTCAACCTCACGCTTCGCCCCCAGATAAATCCCAACTCCTGGAAAACCACTCTGCTGAGGGAGCTATCCTCTGGAGGTGGGGAGACTGTAAGGGAGGAGGCTAGAGGTGGGAAACTCACCAGCAAGAGACCTGGCGACCAGGTAACTTTTCAGAGCTCTTCCAGCCCAGAAAGTCCACCGTCCTTTGGGGGGATGGGGCTTCGTTAGGGGTAGGAGTGCCCACCTGGATCTGGAGACTGTGGTCCCACGCAGATGGGACCAGGCACTACAGGTCCGAGGAGGGCTCAGTTGCTGCACCATCCTTCCCAGGTCCCTCTGTCCCAGGTCAGCCCAGCCTTGGGACCCAAGCCGGCTCATATTCTAGGGATGGCACAGCGGCCCGGGTCACTGAGGCCTGAGGGGAACACACGAGGCATTGTTTTAAATTTAATTTTTATTTTATATTGCAGTTTACTTGATTTATCATATTGTGTTGTTTCAGGTGTTCAGCAGGTTGATTCAGTTGCACATAGACATATATATGTTCTTTATTCCTATTCTTCTCAATATAGGTTATTAAAGAGTGTTGGGTAGAGTTCCCTGTGCTAAACAGTAGGTCCTTGTTGATGATCAATTTCATACATATTCCGGCATATATGCTAATCCAACCTTCTCATTTGTCCCTTCCTGCTACCTTTCCCCTTTGGTGAACACATGTTTATTTTCTAAGTCTATGAGCCGGATATTGTTTTATAAATTGATTCCTTTGTATCAGTGTTTGAATTAGACCTATAAGTGATATCATGTGAGATTTCCCTTTCCTTTCTGACTTACTTCGCTTAGTATGATCACTTCTAAGTCCATCCGTGTTGCTGCAAGTGGCATTATTTCAATTTTTATGGCTGAGCAGCATTCCATTGTCTACATGTACTCCATCTTCTTTGTCCATTCATTGATCTGTGAACATTTTCTTTGCTTCCATGTCTTGGCCATTGAACATACGGATGCTACGGCCGTTGGGGTACGCAGGTGTTTTCGAATGCTGATTTTCTCTGGATATCTCCAAAGGAGTGGGACTGATGGGTCATCTGGTCTCTTTATTATTAATTTTTTAAGGAACATCCATACTGTTGTTTATCGTGGCAGTTACCAGGTTTCATTTCCACCAGCAGCGTAGGCAGGTTCCCTTTTCTCCACGCTCTCTCCGGCTCTTATTGTTTGTAGACTTTTTGATGATGGCCATTGTGACTGGTCCGAGGCCCAGCCGCTCCGCGGCATGTGGGATCTTCCCGGACCGGGGCACGAACCCGTGTTCCCTGCATCGGCAGGCGGGCTCTCAACCACTGCGCCACCAGGGAAGCCCCCTTCCTTGTAGTTTTGATATCCGTTTCTCTGATAGGTAGGGCTGCTGAGCACCTTGACTTTTGCTTTTTTTTTTTTCTTTTATTCGTGTGTGTAGAAGTTACCTCTTTAAATTGGCTTCTTCACGGTAGTCAGAGTTTTAAATTCTTTTTTCCATTTCCTACCCAAGGACATTTCTTGAGGGCAGGTGTCATTTACAGCCCCCCAGGCTTTGCGAATATAAAGTGCTCAGAAGCACTGGTTTTAAAGCTGTCGTTGCGGTATCGGCCACAAGGTGGCAGGATTTCTTCATCCCCAAAGCTGGTTATTCTCGCCACAAGAACCTGAGAGAAAGTTGTTATTTCTGGGTGTAAATTCGAGTGGTATGGGGCTGAACAATCAACCAAGGAGACTTCCCTGGCGGTCCAATGGTTAAAACTCTGATCTTCCAGTATAGGGGCTCCGGTTCAATTTCTGGTCTGGGAAATTGGATTGCCCATGCCACGTGGCCAAAAAAAAAAAAAAAAAAAGAAAAAGAAAAAAAGAGAAAAACAACCTAAGGGGTTGCGTCTCATTAATTCTTTGCCCTTACACTTCACCCCCGGGCAAATTCCAACCCCTGGGACACCATACTGCAGAGAGAGCTGTCCTCTGGAGGTGGGGAGACTGTAAGGGATGAGGCTAGAGGCGGGAAACTCACCAGCAGGAGACCTGGAGACCAGCTGACTTTTCAGAGCTCTTCCAGCCCAGAGAGTCCACCATCCTCTGGGTGCACTGGGCTTGGTTCAGGGGTAGGAGTGCCCACCTGGATCTGGAGACTGTGGTCCCATGCCGTCGGGACCAGGCACTACAGGTCCAAGGAGGGCTAATTTCCTGCACCATCCTTCCCAGGTCCCTCTGTCCCAGGTCAGTCCATCCTTGGAAGCCATGCCGGAGATGTGACACGAGCGCAGGTCACCGAGGGCTGAGAGGGACGTAGGAGGCATTTCGTGTTTGAATTTGTTTTATTTTATATTGGAGTAGATTGTTTAACAATGTTGTATTGTTTTAGGTGTTCAGCAAGTTGATTCAGTTTTACATAGAAATATATCTGGTTTTTTTTCCGATTCTTTCCCCATATAGTTTATTAAAGAGTGTTGGGTAGAGTTTCCTGTGGTATACAGTAGGTCTTTGTTGATTATCGATTTCACATATATTATGGGGAACATGCTATACCTCATTTGTCCCTTTCCACCACCTTTCCACTTTGGTATCCATACTTTTGTTTTCTAGGTCTGTGAGGCTGTTTATGTTTTGTAAATTGGTTCCTTTTTATTAATGTCTGGTTTCCACCTTTAAGTCACATCATGTAATATTTCTCTTTCCTTTCTGACTTACTTCACTTAGTATGATCACCCCTAAGTCCGCCCTGTTGCTTCAACTGGTATTATTTCATTTTTTTTTTTAACGGCTGAGTAACATTCCATTGTCCTGGGCGTATAAACAGCAAAAACCAGAATTTGAAAAACTTTCACCCCAACCCTCACTGTAGCACTATTTACAATAGCCAAGACATGGAATCAGCCGAAATGTCCATCAACAGATGAATGGATAGAGAAGAACTGGTACACAGACACAACAGAATATTATTCAGCCATAAAAAGGAAGGAAATCATGCCATCTGCAGCAATACGGAGGGATCTCAGACGATCATACTAAGTGAAGTAAGTCAGACAGAGCAAGATAAATATCATGTGATAACCCTTGTAGGTGGACTCTAGAAAGTGACGCCAGTGAACTAATTTCAAGAGAGAAACAGACTCAAAGTTAGTTATTAGAGACGTGCAGATCAAAACTACAAAGAGGTGTCACCTTGCACCAGTTAGAATGGCCATCACCAAAAAGTCTACAAACTGTAAATGCTAGCGAGGGAGTGGAGAAAAGGGAACCCGCCTACACTGTTGGTGAGAATGTAAACGGGTCACAGCCACTAGGGAGAACAGTAGGGTGGTTCCTTAACATGCTAAAAATAGAGCTACCGTATGATCCGGCAGTCCCACTCCTGGGCGTGTATCAGGAGAAAACCAGAATTTGAAAAACATGCACCCCAACGTTCACTGCCACACTAGTTACAACAGCCAAGGCATGGAATCAACCAAAATGTCCATCAACAGATGAATCAATAAAGAAGAAGTGGTACATAGAGACAAATGAATATTATTCGCCATAAAAAAGAATGAAATAATGCCATTAGCAGCAACGTGGATAGACCTAGAGATGATCACACTAAGTGGAGTAAGTCACATAGAGACAAAAAAAATGTCATATGATATCACTTAGTGGTGGAATCAAATAAGTGATACCAAGGAACTAATTTGTAAAAGAGACACAGATTTAGAAAAATAACTTATGGTTACCAAAGGAGAACGTTGGGGGGAAGGGATAAATTAGGAGGTTGAGATATATGTAAACACACTAATACAAACGAAATAGCTAATCAACAGGGACCAGCTGTATAGTTCAGGGAACTCTACTCGACACTCTTTAATAACCTATTGGGAACAGAGTCCGAAAAAGAATAGATAAATGTATATGTATAACTGAATCAACTTGCTGTACACCTACAAATCACAACATTGTAATTAAACTTTACTCCAGGAAAACAACAAAAATTAAATTTAAAAAAAAACAAGAAGCGATTATCACAGGCATTTGGGTGTATGTTCTGGTTAATTCCCCTGTAATTTACAACGCACAGAGGAGTGCAACTAAGGCTCTGGTTGCCCCAGTAACCAGTGTTGGGCATGAAGAAATCCTTCCACCACCCTGTGGTCATTTTCTTTAACAGCAAGTTAAAAACCAGGTCATTTGGGCACTTCATATTCACAAGCACTCCGGGGCTATGAATGACACCTACCCTCAAGAAATGTCCTGGGTTAGGTAATTGAAAAAGAAGTCAAAGACGGCAGCCTTTCAAGATGCCAATTTCAATAGGTAAATTTTACTCTCACCATTTAAAAAAAAAAAAAAAAGCATGTGAAAATTTGTTCAACATAGCTAGCTAATTACTAGAGACACGCAAAGCGAAATCTCAACGAGGTATCACCTCGCGCCAGCCAGAATGGCCATCATCAAAAAGTCTACGAACTGTAAATGCTGGCAAGGGTGTGGAGAAAAGGCAAGCCTCCTACACTGTTGGTGGGGCTGTAAACTGGTCACAGCCACTGGAGAACAGTATGAAGGTTCCTTAACAAGCTAAAAATAGAGCTAGCATATGATCCGGCAGTCCCAGTCCTGGGCGTATACCTGGAGAAAACCAGAATTCGAAAAACATGCACCCCAACGTTCACTGCCACACTAGTTACAACAGCCAAGGCATGGAAGCAACCAAAACGTCCATCGACAGATGAATCAATAAAGAAGTGGTACATAGAGACTACTGAATATTACTCAGCCATAAAATAGACTGAAATAATGCCATTTGCAGCAACATAGTATAATCATCCCTAGGTCCATCTGTGTGAAGTAAGTCAGATAGAGAAAGACAAATATCATATGATATCACTTGTAGGTGGATTCTAAAAATTAATACCAATGAGCTGATTTACAAAAGACAGATCACAGACTTTGAAAACATATTTATGTTTACCAAAGAGGAAAGGTGGGGTAAAGGGATAAATTAGGTGGTTGGGATTAAATATACATACTAAGACATATAAAATAGGTGATCAAAAAGAACTACTGTAGCACAGGGAACTCTGCTCAACATTCTGTAATAGTCTATGTGGGATAAGAATTCAAAAATGAATAGACATATGTATATGTAGAACTGAAGAAGTTGATGTTGACCTACAAAGGAACACAACATTGTAAATCAACATTACTCCAACAAAAAATTAAAATTAAATTAAAATTAAAAAATAGGTAATGAGACGCAAGCTTTTGGGTGTTTGTTCTGGTATAGTTGACGCTAATTTACAACCCAGGAACGTGAATCCCACTAAAGCTCTGGTTGCCTGAGTAACCAGAGTTGGTCATGAAGAAATGCTGCCGCCTTGTGGCCGTTTTCCATAACAGCAAGTTAAAAACCAGCGC